CCCCTTTTGGGGTAAACCATTTAAAAGTCAGTTGTCGGCATCATCATCCTCCATGTGCAAATGCTTCAGCAAGGCTCTCCTAGGTGCCTTCAGTAGCATTTAACGTACCCAGAAGTTTGACATCCATGTACTGTCCACGTGCACATTTTCACCAGAGTATCCTTCTGAGCTTCTCCCCAGCCCCACCCAGGATCCAGCAAGGGCCGCATGTTGCATTTGGTTGTCATGTCTCTTTAGTCTCCCTTTGATCAGGAATAATCCCTTTGCGAGCTCGTGTGTGCATGTGCGTGTGTGTGTGTGTATCCATGATATGCACTTTTTTGAGACGTCCAAGCCAGTGTCTTCTAAAAAGTCCCATCATCTGGAGTTGCCCAGTTGTTTCCTCGTGACGAGATTTGTGTGGCCAGATGCTTGGACAGATGTGACTTCCTGTCACATCACCCAAGGAGGCGGGACATACAGGCCCCCTTCTTGATCGCTGGGTCCAGGTGGGTTCGCCAGGTCTCCCCATCATAAAGGTACCAGATTCCCTTTGTAATGTAAGGTCCCCTGCAGGTGATCCTTGGAGAATTTGTGGATATACTGTTCCTCAGCAACACCCTCCCCTTTAATTACCACTACCACTACCGCTACCGCTTCCGCTACAAATTCCTAGGGTCGTTTTAAAGCCCCCACTCCTGGGCCCCCAATACCGCTAGGGGTTAGGGGAGGCATCCAGAGGTAAGACATGGGAAGCCAAGACCTGAGTTGGGGGGCCAGGTGGGCAGCGTATCTCCTGGCCCTGGCGGGGAGGAAAGGAGAGGCCCCCACTTTGATGGAGATGCGCCCCTGCCCTTGTTGAGGTGACAGCCTCCCCTGCAATTTCTGAGCTCCTCTCTGGGCAAGTGAGCACCCCAGCTGCGTGGCTTGTCAGCCCGAGCCCAGTGGGCAGCGAGAGCTGGGCCTCACTGCCGCCTACACCACGGGATGCTGCCCTCAGCCCCCCTCGGGCACATGATGCCAGCGTGCCACTGCGCCTGCCCTGCGTGCCCTGGCATAGGGAGGGGTCCTGGGGAGCCTGGAGAGAACGGAGGAGCGAGGGGCTGGGCCGCTGTGCTGTGGTTCAATGTACCTTTGCCCCGCCCCACCCGCCTCACCGCTGGGTTGGCGGGTTGCGCAGGCCTCGTGCAAGGCCCGTTGGGCCTGGAGACAGACTTGTGAGGCCTCTGGAGAAATGAGCCTGGATTTCACCACTGACTTCTCTGTTAATTCGGTTCTGACAGCAGCAGGGCCGGCTGGCTGCAGATTCGGGGGCACCTTTCCGTGGTCCCAGGCCTCTCGGTTTCAGCGCGGGTTGGCTTTCTCGGAGGCAGGGAACGCTCACTTTTCTGCAGGAGCCGGGCAGGAGCCTCACTGCACATGTGTGAGCACGCACCCACCTTCCTGATGGTGCGTGTGTTTTTGTGTACAAGTATGTGCGAGCTGCCTTTGGAAAAGTCTGGACGGAGCACCTGCTCCCCGTCCGCCCGTCCACCTCTTCACCGAGGGCGGCGGCCTGGGAAGTCAGGTTGGGCCTCAGGGTCTCATCGGTGAGGTCCTCGCCGGGCCTCTCCCAGCAAGGCCCCGGGAGTGTCCTGTCTGAGCAGGCGCTCGGCCTGCGTGTGGGCTTTCAGGAAAGTTGTCTCCGGCGCAGGCTCTTCTGGAGAATAACACCCCCTCCACCAGGGTTTCCCGGAAGGAGGTGCCTCTCAAGAAGAGAGAACTGTGCAGGCGGGGGCGGAAAAGGGGAAGGGACTAAGCAACACAAAACAAAACCCCGAACCTCACACACAGACAACAGTGTGGTGATGGCCAGAGGGAGGGGTGGGAGGAGGTAGAAGAGGGTAAAGGGGTAAGTGGTGATGGGAGGAGACTTGGCTTGGGGTGGTGAACACAGTGCAGTGTGCAGATGATGTATAATAGAATTGTACACCGGAAACCTGTGTAATTTTATGGACCAACGTTACCCCACTAGATTCAATAAAAAGGTTTAAAAAAAGAGGAAAACAAAAGAGAACTGGAAGCTAGGCTTGCCAGGACTATGGGCAGCAGGTTTGGGGTGAAAGGACAGAGAAATGGAAATTCACCCCCCCCCTCTCACCCCCCTGGCATTGCATGGTCTGGACTTGGCTTTGTGGAGGCTGTGAGGGGTTCAGCCTCTCCCCAAATTCCAGAGGCTCCCTGGCTGAGTCTCCCGCACCTGGGCCTTCACTGGGGTGGGCTGCTGAAGAAAGAAGGACAGAGAACCCCCACCCCCCGGGAGCCCCTAGTCTGAGCCCCCGGTCTGAAGGAGGAAATAGCTCCCTGTCCTCTCCTTGCTCCTGGGGAGCCCCCACTTTGATGGAGATGCGCCCCTGCCCTTGGTGAACTTCCTGTCTGAGAGGGAGCTATCGCTGCTGCTCTCAGGGTTCCCCAGTAAAGGGTGAGCCTCAGAACCCTGCCTCCTGAGAGCACCCCATTTCCCCCAGCTGGGACGCAGAGCTCAGCCATCAGGGGCTGGCTTAGAAAAAGCAATTTTGTTGGCCATCTCAAAGTCTTGCCCTTCTGGGTCCTGCATTCGGATCGGGAATGAGATCAGGAATGAGCTTCCAGTTGATTGCCTTGGTTCCCTATGGAGGACCCCCTAACCCCCACCAGCTTCTTTGTCTCCATGGGAAACCTCTTGGTGATTGGAGACGGGATGGAGTTGGGTTGAGGCTCCGGCTAGAGTGACTCTGCAGCAAAACAAGCCGAGTCGTGTTACTGCCGCTTCCTGTTCACCAAGCTCGCACGAGGCCCGGAATTCCAGGCTCCTGCCACACACAGCTGATGAGCTGAGCCCCTTTCCCAGGTAAACCCGATCATGGCACTTACCAGCTCAGCCCCCTCCAGCACTTACAATCAAACTCTTCACTGGATTTTAAGGTGGCCCTGCCCACCTCTCCCACCTCTGTCTTAGCACTGTGCTGCCCACACTGACCACCTTTCTGTTTCTCAAGCATGGCAAGCTCATTCCTGCCCCAGGGCCTTTGCACCTCCTGTGCCCTCTGCCTGGAATGCTCTCCCCACCCTCACCCCAGTATTCCAGGGCTGATTCCTTCATGTATTTAATGTCTCTGATTAAATGCCTCCTAAAGAGACCTTCTCTGGCCACCCAACCTTAATGGCTCCCAACATTTTTTCCTGTGCAGCGGTTTTAATTATTTGGAGTCATCTTTATCTGTGTGTTTGTTTCACTGGTCTCTGCACTGGGAACACACACTTCATGAGATCCCCTGGGTGATCTCATTCATCATTACCTTCCCAGCACCTAGACCCATGCCAAGCACATAGTAGGAGCTCAAGAACATCTGTTAATGAATGAGACCATATTAGGAACTGGGCCTGCACCGAGCTCCCCTTCACCCAGGTCCCTGTAACCTCGTGACAACTTCCACTTACAGATGGGAAACTGAGGGCCAGGCCTGTGCAGTTACTGAGGAAATTAGCTCTAATAGCAGGTCTGATAGCAAATCCATGTTCTGTCCAACATCTTCCTGCAGTTTCGGGTTTCTGTGCTCTTTACAGAGGAAAGGGAAGGAGGAAACTCATGAGGCACTGCCCATGGGCTAGTCCTCCACGTCCAGGTTTCTCCTTCCCTGCACGTCTTCCTCTCTCTCTCTTTTTTTTTTGCACTTGCTGCTCTACCATTCACATTTTCCTATGTTCTTTACGCAGTCTGTGTAAACGATTTTGAGTGGGTGTGGAACAGTCCACCGAGTGGATGTGTCGGAGTTACCTGAATGGCTGGGCACTTAGGTTGTTTCCAGTCTGCTGTGCTGCAGTTGTCTGCATTGGAGCAACATCTGGATGTTGTAGATGAAGCTCAAGGGTCCGTCCGTGCACTCTGACCAAATGTTACTGCGTGCTGGCCCCTGTGCCGAGCAGGGGGCACTGATAGGCCTGGGGCTCTGTCTGCTGTTGGAGATCATAGTCCGGGTGGGAGGCGCTGAGCAGACACAGGGTGGCGTAGGTGTCACGGGGCTGGAGAGTGGAGAACCGTGTGCAGAAGGTGGTCCGGTGCAAGGGCGGTGGGGGGTGCCTCATGGAAGAGGGGCATCACCCCGAAGGGGAGTCTTCAGGTGCTGAAAGGCTGTTGCCAGGAGGGCACTGGGTGATGCACACAGCACATAGGTCACCATGAGGGCGGAGGCATGGCCACGTGGTTCCTCCTGAGTGTCCTTCCGGCCCAGGCTCGGGTCGGCCTGGAGTGGAGGGAGCCTGCGAGGGCAGAGCTGAGGCAGAGGCGGGCGGAGTGCCGAGTTAAAGAACCTGGACTTTGTCCTGCGGTGGATGGGAACTCTGACTGTCTTCTCTCTTTAAAAAAGAGGTTTTCTTTAAAAGACCAAAATTATACATACACCTATTTAAAAAAATCAAATAGCATAGACTGGTTCATCCCCAGACCCCTTCCTGGGAGAAAATGCTTGTCACCTGTTTCTGTTTTCAATTCACCTGCATGACTGTAACTTGTCTGCCCTGCTGGTTCCTGACTTATCAATGTTGGACATTCTGTGTTGCCTCCCCCTGTAAAAGGTGAGGATTTGGCTCACAGCACCCACCTCTCTTCCCAGGAGTTGTGTTGGCTGCCTTTGTAACTTTAGATAATATGTAAGTGGCTGCTTCCTCCCATTGACTTTAGTTCTTTCTCTCCTGTCACGGTGGCGTGCTAGAGCCGGGTCTTATCAACTCCTAAGAGCCTGGTGTGTGTGACTTTCTCCCTGCTCCTTGTTCAGTGATGTCGTGTGGGTAGCTTGAGATTGGCCCTATTGGAAGTATTTACACCAGGGGAATTGGCAGACACGACACACCAGGGTACCTCTGCCTGTTAAACAATTACCGACACGCCACTGCTGGGCTCCTGGGGTTTCCTTCCGGCCTCAGCTGGTTCAGGCAGAGGCCAGAGTAGCTTGGCCCCCAGGTGTTTGGCTGGCCCAGCACCAACACCGCCACTCTGTCCGCAGCAAAGCTTCGAGGCTCACCAGGATGAGGCCGTGAGCGTGACGCACATGGTGAAGGCAGGCAGCGGCGTCTGGATGGCCTTCTCCTCCGGCTCCTCCATCCGCCTCTTCCACACGGAGACGCTGGAGCACCTGCAAGAGATCAACATCGCCACCAGGACCACCTTCCTCCTGCCAGGTGAGGCTGCGGGGGCCTCGTCCTGGGCCTGTGGAGGGAGGGCGCTGACAGTGGTGGCCAGCAGAGGTGCATCCTGCCCAGCCCATCTCATTAACCTTGTGGGAGCCTTAGGTCGGCCTTGAAACTGGGCCTCCAAAGCAGGCAGTGGAGGGTTTAGAATTCGAGCCCAGGACTGTCCTTTTAAAGCCCTGCGCGCTGTCACCACGTCCCCCCTCGGCCTGCAGCACAGGGGGTGCGGGCTCGCAGGAAGTGAGGCTCTGAGCTCAGTGGACTCTCCTAAGTCAGGCAGCTGCTAAAAAGCCACTCTGGGTGGAACCAGGCCTGTCTACACCTGCCACTCCTCAGGTTGACAAGAAACCAACTCTGCCTCGAATCACCTTCAGGATGAGGTGCAGGGGAAGAGCGAGGGCCGAGCAAGGGGCTCTTTGCTTAGAGGCTTTTCTAAGAAAGGCAGCTGTCCCTTTTGGTTCCCTGGCCAGGCTGGGAGTGGGGATTGGACAGCATCCCGGGGCCTGTGCTTCCTCCTGCAGAGCTGTTGGTGAGACGTGATGGAGAGGATTAAGGCTGGAGTGCACCTAACCCCTGCCCATCTCTGTCTGAGGCTTTGGCGGAATTGGCTCTAGGCATCTCCCTTACCATCTGCTGCCCACGCTGCCGCCCAGACCCCCGCAGGCTGTGCTAGGAGAGCAGGGCGGCCACCTGCTCAGGGCTCATTCCCGCCCACAGCTGGCCTTAGAGCAGACCACAGAGCCAGCTGCAGCAGCCCGCCTTGCCTCCCTGCTTGGCCCCGCTTCCACCAGACAGGCCGACTGACCCAAGCACTGCAGGCTGGGCTGGTCTTAGCAGCTGGGGAGCTGAAGGGCCCTGGGGCCAGGGGCAGAGCAGGCATGGCAGGCTGAGGGCCTGGCGCCAATTGTTACCAGGACTCGGCAGATGGGCCACGGCGTCGCTAAAAGCAGCTGAGCCAGGAGACTGACCTCCCGTTGTGTGAGGCTGGGCCAAGGGCGGGCACGCTAGCCAGCACTTTGGGGGCCGTGGGAGCCTGTCTCACCCCAGAGGCCTGGTTCCTGACCCCACGTGGAGCGCCTGGAAATCACCCTGGCCCCTGCTTCCTCCCAGCTCGTTGAGACTGTCCCTGACTTGTGGCCACAGGGGATCTTGTACCAACAACAAGATCAACAACAAACAGCGATAGAATGTAATTAACTACCACCCCGCCAGGAGCCCTACTGTGAGCGAGGTCCCAGGCGCTTGACCCACAGGGTCTCACTTCATCTTAACCCCGTGAGGTGGGGGTTGTCCCCGCTGTACAGATGCAGGAACTGAGGTTTGCTCAGCAGATCAGGAGGCCGGTCTGTGGTCATGCCGCCCACCAGAGGCAGGACTGGGGTCACAAGAGGTCAGACTCACTTCAGAGTCCCACTGTGTGTAATGGGGGAAGGGATGACTTTAGAGGGGCCCAGAGTCCTGGCTCAATCACGTTTGGGTCTTGGGCAGGTCTCTTTGCCTCCCGGAACCTCTGGTCCCTCTGTGGGACTGGAGGTGGCTCCGGGCTCCTGGTAAATGCCATCAGTGCGGGAAGGCACCACGCCCAGTTCTGGGGTGTGGTGGGTACACCAGGAGGAGAAATGCCCCCTAACATGTTCCCTGGGGTGTGGGAGGGGCCTGCGGGGCCTGTGTTATAGGTCTTTTTTTTTGCAGCTTTATTTTTTTTGTATTTCATAGGATTTAGCCATTCTACACAGTAAATCCATTTAGCTTTGATAGATGTGTCTCTGTATCACAAAATATTTCCCCATTCACGCTGATAGCTAAATTATTTCAAGTTAGTGGGATAAGGGGAAAGTCGCACAATCTCTGGGCCTTTCCGATCTTGTCAAGCTCATCTGTGGGAGTGGGGAGAGTGAGAGGAAGCGTCACGGTTACCGGGGCCCAGAGGTGGATTTGTGGGCAGATGGGCTGCAGGTGGAAAAACTCCAGCTCCCACCGGCGCAGCTGACTCACTGTGAACGTTCAAAACACAGGCCCGCGCCCCCTGGCTGACTGGTTCTTTGCACTTACCCCTTAGAGCAGAGGTCCTCAAACTTTTTAAACAGGGGGCCAGTTCACTGTCCCTCAGACATTCCACACATGTGCACTGCGGGTCCGGGACGAGTCTGCTGCTAAGCAGGGCAGGCAGCGGCGGCAAAAATACCCGGTGGGCTGGATAAATGTTTTCGGCGGGCCGCATGTGGCCCGAGGGCTGTAGTTTGAGGACCCCTGCCTTAGAGAAGGGAGAGCGTCCATCATCGGGATGATTATTTCAGAGCCAGGTAAACCGAGGCCCAGGAGGTTAATCGACTGGCCCAAGGTCACGCTGCTGATGAGGCCGGAGCCAGGGCTCGAATCGCAGCCCCCTCACAGACTTACCGCACAGTCCCCCTTGCTAGGCCTCCGTTTCCCCATCTGTACGGTGAGGGGCCGAGATTTGAGCCAGAGCTTGACCATGCCGTGTAGGGCAGCCCGGAACCTAGAGTCGGGCAAGCTCTGCTGGGATCCTGGCTCTGCCACTTTGCAGCCTGTGACTGGGAGTGGATGGGGAACCTTTCTCATCCTTGGGCCCCTGCCTCTCAGGGAGGCGTGGGCCTGAGACGGTGCAGCCCTCTGGCTTGAGTAAGTCTCAGTCCCCGATGGTGCTGTTCACGGTCATCGGCTCCATCATGCCTTCTCGGCCATCCCCGTCCCTGGTCACACTGGCTACTGTGGGCCATGCGTCTCCCAAGGGGCTCCTTGCTCACCCCCACCCTCCGAGTCCATGCCCTTCCCTCCTCATCAGCTACATCCGAGCAGACAGAGCCACCCCTACGCTTGCCGGACCTCTTTGGGGCTGGGCCCTGGGCACATCCGGGATGGAGGCGGAGGTTCCTGGGTACAGGGCTTCCCGAAGGTGACTGCCCTGGGCCTTCTCCCTCCGGCTTGACCGTTCCTACACCACACAGAGAGCCCCCACACCCAAGGGCCCCCACACCCGAGGAATGCTGGGCTGGAGCTAGCATGGGGCAGAGGGCAGCTTCAAATCCTCCCACCTTGTGCCTCGGCTAAAGGACAACAGAGCGGGACTCTTACGTTCTTTATTAGAAATATTTAGAAAGTGTGTTTTCTTCGCCCACACCAGCAAATGAAATAATTGCATAATTAGTAATAAATTTGTTCCTCCTTTAAGCGTGGATTTCTTTAAGGGGACGTAAAATATTTATCACGCTTCCTTCCCCCGACCCCTGCCTTCCACTCGGCACCCGACTGGTATTAATGCATTTTTGAGCCTAAACTCCCTCCTCCTCTTAACTAGACAGGTCATTAATAAAACGTTCTCCGAGAGCCCGAGCTTTTTAAAGTTGCATATCTCCAGATAGATGGCTCGGGCGAGCTGCACGCTGCTGCATTAAGTCTCTGTGATAAAATATTTATCCACCATTAGGATTTTTTTCTCTCGGACTGTTTGTGAGGTGCCTTGCTCTTTCCCTCGAGGCGGAGGGGGCGGAGGAAGGGCCCCGGAATGAGGTCTGATGATGAAGTCATTTCTCAATGCCGGCATCTCTTTGGGTTTCTTGCTGCCTTCCTTTGGGTTTCGGCTATGGGGGTGGGGGGTGGGGTGGGGGTGGGTGGGAGGATGCAGGGGCATCAGGAAATGGTCTCCTTCTGGTCTTCAGGCTCCCGGGGCCCCGGAACAGGAGGTGAGGCGCTAGAGATGAAAAAATTTGCCACTGTTTCCGCGCTTGGCTTTATTGTTTTTGTGGGTTTATGGCTCTGGTGGAGCTGGTCGGAAGAGTCTAGGTCCTTTTAATAATTATAGCTGTTTTCCTAATAGCCTGCCTTTATTGATTGTGTACTAGGGCTAAGAGCTGTGCTCAACCGTGTATATATATTATCTCTATATGTGCTGTATATGTATATGCATATTTCTAATAACCATAAAATTGAGCTAGGTAGGTTTGTAATATTCATTGATCAATGAAAGTGACTTGTTAATTCACACAGTTAGTCAGTGACATCAGCACCCATGTCCTTTTCCACTCTTCTATATTTTTCATTCATTCATTCATTCATTCACCCACCCATTTACTCACGGATACTTGTTGAGTGTCTGCCATGGGCCATGGTACTGGGAATGGACCTTGAGCACAGATAAGCCTCTGCCCTCATGAAGCTTATAGTTGGGACAGCGAACAGCAAATAAGGAAAGGGAAGAAGAGGGTGGTTATAGACCTTGGCCGGGGCCAGGAGGGAAGACGGCTGGTGACGAGAGGGAGCTCGTAGCCTGAGCCTGTTGCTCTGACTTCCCGGGGCCAGGAACACCCAGTGGGACCACAGGTGTCCTAGTAGTTGACGCAGATGTGAGGCACAGTCCTGGCCCCACAAACCCGCAGATGCTGTGTGTGAAATAAATAGTGCCTGCCGTCAAGTGATGAACTGGCTTTTTTTCGGTGTGGTTTGCATTTCCACGTTGAATCAATACTATGAATATGACTTTTTGAGTTTGCATCACATCGCCAGACTCATATATCTCCCTGCCTGCTGACAGCTCCATTTGGCTGTCTAACGTGCATCTCAAGCAACACATCCGGCGGAGAACTTGGACTTCCACCCCAAGCCCGCTCCTCCCCCATCTCAGTCGGTGTCTCTGCCGTGTACCGGCTGCACGAGACAAAACCCTCCGAGTTGCCCTTGATTCCTCCCCTTCCTCTCCTCCCACTCTGGTCAGTCAACGGCTCTGTTGTTCTGCTTCAAAACAGATCTCAGACCTGTTGGCTTCTCATTTTCTTCCTGCCACCATTGCGTCTCTGTCACCATCTTACGCGCCCTTCTTCCCTCACTGCTAAACGCTCCTCTAAAATCAGGTCTATCCCTCACCTGTTAGACCTTCTGGTAGCGTCTCATCACGCCCAGAATGAACAGTCACAGTCCTTACCCCGACTCGTCCACTCTCCTGACCTCCCTCTGCTCATCTCGAGTTTGCCCTGGTCTCCGAGCTGCACTCGCTTCAGTCTGTTCCACCAACCTGCTAAGCTCATTCTTGTCACAGGAGCCTTTGCACGTGCTGTCTCCCAGGCTTTGGCTCAGGTCTTGAC